GCCTAGCATGTCCTGGTTTTGGCACTAAATGTCCCCCATCCCAAAAAAGCCATCAGTCCTTGGCAACCAGGGCCCTAAATAACACAGCATCAAATAAAACCTGTGTGTAATATAATATAAATGCATAGGTCTATGATATGTATATATCAAAAGGAAAGCTATCAAAAATTATAATGGGAGACTGGCATATTTCTTGTAATCTTTGACAGCTCAATTAAGTACAAAGGAAACTTAAAAACAGATTTGAACAATATAATCAATAAACTCATTTTAATCTATACAGTCGAACATTGTAGTCCACAGAGAAAAGACTTTCTTTTCACCTCATTCAATAACATTGACAAACCTCTCATATGTGGTTTATCATGGAAGTTAGGCCAGGACGAATCTTTGCTGGAAGCTTGCCATTCCATAGATGCTCTTTGAGTCTGGGGGACTTTGTTGTTGTTGTAAACAGAGGCAGTTTTTGGTATTACTGTCTTAAAATTCTTTCAAGCTAAAACTATGGTACTTAAGGTATATAGAGTAAAATATTAGGGCTCCAATCTCTCTTCTACAGATTCGAAATTCTACTCCAAGCATCTTGGGTATGTCCTTGTACACAGTCCAAAAATGCTTAAACTACCCAAAAATCTCTTTTGAAGAAAAAAATTTCTCATGGACCCATGCTGACCTAAGTCACTTTTATTAAAATGTAACTTAAATATGTACACTCATAAAGACCAGTTATAGGGGTGCCTGGGTGGCTCAGTTGTTAAGCATCTGCCTTCGGCTCAGGTCATGATCCCAGGGTACTGGGATCGAGCCCCGCATCAGGCTCTCTCCTCAGTGGGAAGCCTGCTTCTCCCTCTCCCACTCCCCCTGCATGTGTTCCCTCTCTTGCTATGTATCTGTCTGTCAAATAAATAAATAAAATCTTAAAAAAAAAAACAAAACCAGTTATAAACATCCAGGCATTATAGCTTTTATATAACCAAAATGCCAAAATCAATTTACAAATAAATGTAACTATAAAACTTTAAAACGCCAAACTAACAAAATTAACTTCCTGCAACAGACAATATTGTTTTGCTGGAATTAAAACACCATTTTGGGTTTAACAACAGAAAGATATAGTCTCAGTCTAGTTGCTATGTGTTATCACTATCTGAATTTTGGCTTCAACAATACTAATGCAGACAACTTATAAAGCATGTGTGCAAAACAATATTAATAACCTCAAAAATGTGTTTGCTACATTGAAGATAATCAGGTACCATAATTTAAAATTCTACTAAAACCCATCCTGAGATGCCTACATAAGTGGGTGCCATTTCATAATAATAAAAATCATGGTAATGACCAACATCTATTGAACTTTACTATATGCTCCAAGTCTTTCACATGTAGTAACTCTAATCCTTTTAATATCATGATGAAATCAACCACATATTTATCTCCATATCATCAAAAGAAGAAACTGAGGATCAGAGAGATTGAGTAACTTGCCCAAGTTTCACAGCTAGTAAGTAAAAAAATGAATTTGAAGTCAGACAGTCTGGCTCCACTCAATCATTACACCAAATTACTCGTCTCATTGCTTTGGACATAAGGTAGTTATCGGGGGTTACCAAATCTGCATTAAATGTAGATCTAATCCAATTATTGCTGAAACCAGCAACAGCAACTCTGTCATTGTGTTTTCACTACATCACCTGCTGCTAATAAGTTGCTGCAACTTGTGCATATGAAGGTGCAACTAGCATGAGAGCATCATTCCTTGCCAATATAGTGCTGATCCCAGGAATTGTTCTTTTGAGTCTGATGAGCCTGTGCCCTGTGTGGACTCATCATTCTCTCCATGTACCTCTAACTAAACTCCTCTTTGCCTCATAACCTGAGCCACCAGGCCTGCCCTTGGCTCACATGGGAAGATACAGAGGCAAATACAGGCCCCACCATTGGCTTTGGAGTTGCCATCAAGATAATCCAGAACACATTTTTATTATTATTTAAGATTATCACTGAAGTAAAACTGCTAATTTTAGAGAAGACACAGATTTCTCAAAATGTATATATCCCCAGAACCCCAGTGGTCTGAGAGACCCATGAGTGATATAAGCTCACACTGAGGAACACTTTAAAAACAGCAGTATGAAACCCTCCTTGTGTCTGACAAGAACATGATTGAAGACATCATTCCAAACACTATCATATTTGTGAAGAGTTCCTTTCTGCTCTTAGAATCAAGAATTGTGCTTCACTTAAGAAGTTTTCATTTTTTGGGCGCCTGGGTGGCTCAGTCGGTTAAGCGACTGCCTTCGGCTCAGGTCATGATCCCAGGGTCCTGGGATCAAGTCCCGCATCGGGCTCCCTGCTCTGCGGGGAGCCTGCTTCTCCCTCTCTCACTCCCCCTGCTTGTGTTCCCTCTCTCGCTGTGTCTCTCTCTGTCAAATAAATAAATAAAATCTTTAAAAAAAAAAAAAAGAAGTTTTCATTTTTTGTTTTATGTTCTGGACATGTGACATTTTGTGTTTTCATACTTTTTCTGCACGGCTCTTGGCACAATCTGTAATTATACATTCATTTACAGGGTTTCCTTGATGAATGTCAGTTCCTCACATTCATCTGTAACTGCTGTCAGGACAGAGACCATGTCTGTCCCTGCACCCTTCACAGAACCCAGCACATAGTAGGTCCTCACTGAGTGTTTGTTAAATGAACAAATGGGTGAATGAGTCAATGAATAAATAAAATATATGAGTCATGGGCTGGTCAGTTCTCCTTTTTCCATGAGATGCTGGAAAGTTTAGAGCTGGATTTGTTTACCTTCGTACCAAGTGTAGAGGGTCTTACGCTTGTATTTTTGTATTAGCTTCATTCTTAATACCATTTTATATCTCTACCCTTAGTCTTCTCTTTTCTTTCTCATTTTCTTCTAAGTTAGTCTCCCTTGCTATGTTTTATGAAGCCTGATAAACTGTCTTAAATTCCTTGTAGAACAAGGTAGGTGGTAAATATATTTATCAAAGTCTTTTAAACATACATTTAAAACCTTAACACTAAACTCTGTCCCAACAAACATATTTGATCACCTGTAAACTCTTAAAGAATAGCTGTGATTTGCTAATTCTAGCACCATCCTAATGCTTAAAGCCAATTCAACCCAAGCCCAGAAACCACACCATAAGGTGCGTCATTTCAGGCAGTGTTATATATTTTGTATGTAACAAGCAAATCTCTAATAAGGCTAGGCAATTGGACAAGAAAGAATATATGGCTTCCCACAAAAATGTATGGATTTGGGATCAAAGAACGATTTATCTTTAGTGGTTCTCCAAAATATATTGAAATTACAATAATAATAAAAGGTTTGCTATTGGGGTTGGGGAGATGAAAAGTGGACGGGGGTGGGGGAAGAAGCAGGGCTGGGCAAGATCCTGGTCCATACACACTGACAAAAGTCTGATCGCTCTACAGAATGAAGGTAGAACACTATAAAGCAAAAATATTAAATGGTCTAAATCCCTCTGTTAAATCTCTAACATATACTATTCATATGCTAGTGGCCAGAGTGACTTGCAAGTCTGAAACTTCAGTTATCTGCTTTTATTAATTTAAAGCACTTTCACTTCAAATGTTGGCCAATTTTCTCTTAAAATGAAACCCAATGTTTAAATCCCTTTAAAGACACCACCCCTACTGTACAAGTTAAACATGCATCTCATGTACCTTAACTAGACCCACACACTAGATGTGAAAGGAGGTGGGTCTACCCTCTCCAATCACTTGCTCATGCCAGGATGTCATTATCAACCCTTCCTTTGGGCTTAGTCAGAAAGAACAAAATGTCCATTTAGCAAACTGAGATTTGATTTCTATTATTAATAAGGCTCATTTCAGCCAGTTGAACCTTAGACAACAAACTGCAAGAGGGAAGAGTGGGTGTAAAGAAACAGATGGGTAATAATCATGTGTCACAGATAAATGACAATTTTTAAAAGAATTTGATAGGGTGTGGGCTGGGTTTTTTTCCCCCTTTCCTTCTCTTTCTCTCTCTCGCTCTCTCTCCTGGGGCTTTCAGTCTTTCTTTCTCCCTCTCTTTGGCAAGGGGTGGAGATTACAGACGAAAAGGAAGGGGGAGAAAAAGCAAGACAATAGGCTAGACAGAGCGCCTGATCGGCATCCTAAAGCAGTCTGCCCCGCCCCCACTCCCCCTAACCTAACACCTTGTAGCTCAGTGGTGGTGATTTCAAAACTGGCAGACGCGGCCCACCCCCACCCCACCCGGCCTCCCAGACCAAGGGTGGCCTCCAACCCGGGGGTGGGGGCGGGGGCGGGGAAAGAAGAGGCAGGAAAAGAGAGGGGAGGGGAGATGAAAGCTAAGAGAGGAACACACTGGCAGGACCTCTTGGGGACAGTGGCCTTTTTTCCCTCCAAAGTGGTGGAGTGGCATAAAAATCCAGATCCACTGGGACCCGCTCACGTGCCAGCTCCCCTGCTCCAAATGCAGGCGGCTGCCGATGCCGCACCTGCGGCCCCGCAGCTGCGGCAGAGCGCCCCGCCTCGAGCCTTGACGACGCCCGGGGGTCGCGCCCAGGCCGCTGAGCACCCCACACCGCTCCCCTGGAGGGCGGCGGCCGAGCGGGAAGGGAAGGGAGGGGAGGGGCAGCCCCCGTGAGGCGACGCTTGCCACCCACCAGCCCTGACCAAGAAGAAAGCCCCACCTGTCAGGCGTGGCGCTCGGAGCGAGTACGCCCGACCATCCCCTCGCAGAGGCCAGGGCTACTCAGCCCCGCTTTCCGAAGAACCTCCAATGTTACATCGTCAAGAGAAACCTTTAGGCACAAAACACACCGCCGCGGGGAAGGGCTGCATCACAGACACACACACTAGCAGACGCTCGCCAATCGGGACCAACCAGCTCGCGCACAGTGGAGGGATGCTGTAGGGGTCTCAAATTCCATTAAAAGAAACAAAACCAAGGCAAGCCACAATGCCCATTCCCAAGACGGGCTTACCTCCGGCACAGCATCTTATCCATCCCTGGTCTTCCACTGTTGTTTTGCTTTGTTGTCTTTTCCTTTGGGTGTCTGCTTAATAAATGCACCCAGCTAATCTGCAGAGCAATGTTTTCTTCCCATCCTGCAGCCCCACACTTGTCAGAGCTGCCTGGAATTCCACCAGCAATGCAGCTTCTCCGCGTCAGTGGTAATTACAGACAACAGAGGCTGCTACTCCTTGACAAAAGGCTTTCGTTCCCGCTCGCCCCTTACAGCCCTGCCGTCGGAATTAAATCCATTTCCCGCACGAGGCTGGGAGGAAATGAGAGCTCTCTTGGCCGTGCGCGCTGACAAAAGGACGCTTGGCGGCGCCCACAGCGCCCCCTCTAGCGGGCCGCTGCCCGGCTGCCCCAGGGCCGCGGTGCTGCAGTGCCCCCCCACCCGCAGTCCCGCCGCCCGGCCTCTGCCCACGTCCACTCCGGCACTACCAACTGCCCGCAAGAGCCAAGAGCTAATATGAGGATTTTGTAACTAGAAGAAAATCTGAAACGTGAGCTTCCTTAAACGCTATATCTTCCCTGGGATTAAAAAAAGAAAGAAGTCTTACAGATGGAATATTTATTGTCTGGGAAGGACATCTGCCTTTAGAAAATTAACTATTAGGGATTTTAATAGCAATTATTGGCCATTTGAATTCTGAGTCAAAATTATCCTAATTCTGACTCCATCTTCAACTAGAGCAAAATTTTTGTTGTTGTGCTGCGGTCTGGGACTGTGAGCCCAGCTCCCTCCAATTCTCATTACTTCCTCCTCTCACCCCTCTCCTCATCCCAGAGGGAACAGGTGTTTAGTGAATAAGGGAACTGGGTGGAGAACCAGAATCCTTGATTACAGTCTCAGACCTGCCATTAACTAGCTGTGTGACTTTGATGAAGTCACTTAAGCTTTCTGGGCATTATTGTCTTAGTCTGTAAAATGACAGTGTACTTAAAGCATCTTCCACTTGTACTTTCTGACAGTGTTTCTCAATATGCCCTCAGAGTAGGAATGTCAAGTGGTAGCTTGGACTTCAGACCCCCATAAGCTCCACCAGCTTCCCCAAATCAGCATCCACTCTACGTGCTTTTTTAAAATGTTGATTGCAGGGCAAGTATGGCTTCCAGAAAAGCCCCTAGTCACTTTCCCCAACCAGATCATGGCCCCTCTGCTCCTTTTAGATTCTGGGGCCATCACCATCTTTAGATGCTCCCATAAAAATCACCTGACTCCACCACAGTGCTGCTGCAGAATCAGAATCTCTGGAGGTGGGCCTAGGAAGTTTATTTTTTAACAAGTATCCCTGGTAATTCCTTTGCACACTGACATTTAAGAAATGCCACTCTATGTGAACTACTACTGATGTGGAAAAAGAGAAAATGCCCACCACAACCACCCTAGAACTGGCAAATATTCCATCTCAGATGCCAGAGGAAGTTGTGTCTTTCTGCTCTAGCTCTCCCAACCTCTCCATCCCCCAGTCTCTATCCCCTCCTTTCCTACCCAGAGCTCCTCATTCACTCCCATTTCACTTTCAGAATTGCTGAGTCCACAAGCCCTTTCCCCATTCTCCTGTCAAAACCGCTAGAATTATAAGCAGCTGAGCCACCAGGACCCAAGGTCTGTCTGGCCAGAACCAGGAAGTCATGTGTTTATTGAGACACTTTAGGTGGCTATGCATTATTGGTGCTGAGTGATGATATCTAGGGAGTCAGGAACATCTTCTCCAGAACCCTGAAATCATAGTTATGGTGGGCCCTTTTCTGAAATAGAACCCAAAAAGGGAATAGAGAATTTTTGTTTAGTCCAGAAATAGCAGGCTTCATAAATCCCCTTAGTCATCTCCATCACTCAAAAATTTCTCTTCCTGATGTATTATTTAACTTTCTCAAACTAGTAATTGCAAACTCTTGTTGGCTCCTGCCACTGTTCTGAGGGCTTTACATGCATTTTTATTCATTTAATCCTCACAAGAACTCCATAAGGACAGTACTATTATTACCCCCATTTTACAGTTGAAGAGACTGACACACAGAGAGGTTAGGTAACCTGCCCAAGGTCACACAGCTAGTGGGTGGCTGGGCAAGGATTCAAACTCACACAATATGGCCCCAGAGCTTATAAACCCTAACCACTACCCTGCACATGGCTTCTGGCAGGAGACAAAAAAAAAAAATTAAATTTAAAATGCAGAACTAGTACAAAACACTGATAAAGTTGATAAGGCTGATATATTCTTTTCCCAAAAAAATGATTCTTCCCCTCCAGTCATCAGTCTTTAAAAAAAAAAAAAAAAATCCTCCAGCTTCTCTTACATGCCATCTGAATGTGACAAGTGCTGGAAAGATTAGTGTCATCCTGTGGCTTTAGGAATTGTTCTGATATCAGATAGGAAGCAAAATTTCAATATATAAATTTCCATATTAATAGCCTATATGGAATTTTAGTTGAAGTTCCTGAAGTTCTCACTCAATTCCAAATTCACTTTGAAATCCTACAAAAGGAACAAGAACGGCAGTTGGCTCCACAGGAAGATCACGAGAATTCAGAGTCCCCATCACTGAAAACCCAAGATGCTTAGCCCTTAACTAGGGAAAGGAAAGCACAGAAGACTCCATGTCAGGCCCAGAAAATCACATCTGACTAGCCCCCAATGACCAGGTAGTTTAAAATTAGATTTTCTGATTTGCAATAAAATTATTTTTATTTTATTTTATTTATTTATTTGACAGAGAGAGACACAGCAAGAGAGGGAACACAAACAGGGGGAGTGGGAGAGGGAGAAGCAGGCTTCCCGCCGAGCAGGGAGCCCGACGCAGGGCTCAATCCCAGGACCCTGGGATCATGACCTGAGCCAAAGGCAGACGCTTAACGACTGAGCCACCCAGGCACCCCTGCAATAAAATCATTTCTGATCCTGATGTCTCTTGATAAAAGATGTTTCTGGTCAGCAATAACTTCTGAAGTTAGCAGATGGGAGTGTAACAGACGCCCGCAGTGCGTCCACCTCCTGGTAGTCATGTCCTTGTGTAATCCCCTCCCCTTAGGTGTGGCAGGACCTGTGACTTGCTCCTAACCAACAGAATACAGCAAAGGGAGGCGGGGCACCTGAGTGGCTCAATTGTTAAGCATCTGCCTTCTGCTCAGGTCATGATCTCAGGGTCCTGGGATTGAGCCCGAGTCCTGGGATCGAGCCCCGCATCGAGCCCCGCATCGGGCTCCCTGCTCCACAGGAAGCCTGCTTCTCCCTCTCCCACTCCCCCTGCTTGTGTTCCCTGTCAAATAAATAAAATCTTAAAAAAAAAAAAAGAATATAGCAAAGGGGATGGGATGTCACTTCTACGATTGCCTTACATAAGATTCTCCATCTTGCTGACTTTCTTGATTGCCTTCCTGGTTTGTATGCTTTGATTAATTAAGTAGCAATGCTAGGAAGACCTACATAGCAAGGAACTGAAGGTGACACCTGGCCAACACCCAGCTAGAAACTGAGGTCATCAGTCCAAAAGTTCTAGAGGAAATGAAGTTGGAAGCAGATCCTTCTCCAGTCAAGCCTTCAGCTGAGACCCCAGCCCAGACTAACACCTTGATTTCTGCCTTGAGAGTGAGCTTAAAACAGAGGACCCAGCTAAGCCATGCCCAGGTGTGACTCCTGATCCACTGAAACGGTGAGATAATGAATGTGTTAAGTTGCTATGTTTGTGGTAATTTGTTACACAGCAATAGGTAACTAATACAGTGCCTTAGCACCCTCCAGGCACAGGCATACTTATCAGTGGCCTTCCCCAGGGCATGTCAGAGGTGCTGGAGGGATTGACACCCCAGAGGATCAGCTCTCAAACAATGACCATCGGGGTTGATGAACAACCTAGCTCCCTCATTCCTAAGTGTTGGAAGGACACCTCTGAAGCATGTTGTACATAGTCTCCCAGAGTGCCTCAGCAGGACTGAGCCCCAGTGGCCCACAGCAGTAACCTGCTCAGTCATGCATCTTTCATAGTCTGGCTTTTCTTCCCTATGTTACTTCCACACTCCCCTACTGGTAATTCCTGGGTTTATCTCCCATATAAACTATAAATCATGGCCTACTTTTAGGGAAACCAAATTTAAGACAAGAGAGAGAGGGGAAAGACAGTGCTTTCAAAGCAAGACCAATGATAAATTCTAAGTCTGGGTTTCCTGAAGATGGCCCTCTCCGAACAAGCGAAAGTTCAGCAAACCCTGTGGCTCAGGCCTGCTGTGAAAAGAAAATGAACTGGGAGTCTAGTGCCTAGGGCTCCAGTCTCAGTCCTAGTGACTGTGTGGACCGAGGAAAAACTGACCCCGGGTCTCACTTCCTAGCTGTAAAGTAAGGGTAAAAGCCCTTGCCCTCCGCTATGGGCTGAACTGTGCTACTCCTACCTCCCCGCTGTTGCCAATTGCTATGTTGAAGTCCTAACCTCCAGAACCTCAGAATGTGACTATATTTGGGGATGGGGTCTTCAAAGAGATAACTGGGATAAATTAATGAGATAATTAAAAGATTAAAAAATTCAGTGATGTGGATAGGTCCTAATCCAATAGGACGGGTATATTTATAAGAGGAAATGTGGACACAACTGGCACAGAGGGAAGACTATGTGAAGTCAACCACCAACAGCCAAGGAGAGGGAAACCAACTCTGCTGACACCCTGATTTCCTGATCTCAGGTAAACTTCTGTTGTTCAAGCCACCCAGTCTATGCTACTTTGTTATGGCAACCCTAGAAAACTAAGTCTCCTACCACCCAGGATTGTCGTGCAGACAAAATAGCATACCAACTGTAAGTACTTGCAGTGCAGTTATTACTGATCACAATGAGAAAACCAGCAGCCATAACCCCGGCCACAGAGGGAAGAGCCACACAGAGCGGGGTGGTAAAGCAGCACGCACAACTGGTGGAAAGGCCCCAGACTCCAGAGGAAATGAAATCCTTATTATAAAGTGGCAGAGAACTCGCTTAAATGGTGTCCTAGTATTTTGTAGAAGGTAGAACTTACAAGTGATAAAATTAGATATTTAACAGAGGAGATTTCTAAGCAAAATAGTGAAAGTGTAACTAGGGTCCTTCTTACTGCTTATGGTAAAATACAAGAGGAGAGATGAATTAAAGGAAGAATCATTAAACACAAAGGAACCAGAGCTTGAAGACTGGGAAAATTCTCAGCCCACCTACATTGCAGAAAGTGAAAAAACTTGTTCTGAAGAGAGCACTAAGGGTATGGCTGAATAACCATTTGATAAAGAGGTCATAGAGTGTAACTCATGGACCTAATCAGCCATCTTAACAGAGGCTAGGAAAAG